CACACACACAAACACAAAAACACCAACACATGCAGAAAGAAAGAAAGAAAGAAAGAAAGAAAGAGAGAGAGAGAGATCTGCATTGCCATTTGATCAGCTTATTAAATTCCTATCTGCTATCTCCCATCTGATATCTGATTGGGAGGCCACAATATTGATCGATATTTGCATATTTCTTGCACGTAGCGCTGTACGTGTACATTTCTTCTACTGAATTAGTTGAGGCTGTTGGTCCGAAACAAAGAAAACCGCAATCTTTTGATTTAATTAAACAAAGAAAACCGCAATCTTTTGATTTAATTAGTTGGTAAATACTACGCATATATGTTTACGACACATTAAGTCATATATGTACAGCTAGCTAGCTGCAGTTACTTTCTTGCATGATTAACCATAAACGACTAATAAGTAATGAGAAATGTTAGCAATCTTCTCGATGAGAGTTCTTCTACCCTTTCTATTGTTTTTAACAATCCTGCAATGTTGTATGATGATGGAAACTATCAATTTTTTAGGTCATACATTAAAGATCATCTATGCAAACTTCTAAAGTGGATTTTTTTGATATAAACGGGACCATCAAATTATTATCCAATAATAAATAGGACCATATTTTTAGTTAAATAGAAGTAAATTTAGACAACACTAATCAAATGGTTAAACGATTGATGTTGTGTGTGTTTTTATTTTTATTTTTTATAGGATTGATTTTTAAGGGGTGACCTAGATGATAGACAATTTTAATCATCAAACAACGTTAAAGGATTATAGAGAAAAATGAGAATATACAATTAAAAAGTCTAAATGAGAACATTGCTAGCATCCCCGTAGTGACTAGGAGGGTTAATTACTTTGTAAGAAAATAAAGCTCCATTTTATGGGAGCTTACTTGCATTTCAATACTCAACAAACAAACATCTCTTTTCATGCTTATGGTTTGCTTAATTAATCAGTTACGACTAGTTAGGTTAGTCCGATTTAATTAGGTTGGTTAGATTAATTATACATTTTTCAAGAAAGTGTGAATTTTGGGAGGAAGACTGAGAAAAAGACAGCTCAAGTTTATTCACAAGAAAAGGTAACCCCTCAAAATATAGTTGGCATTAACTGAGAAATCATGAGACCATCTGTCAATCTACACATTTTGGTCATGGTCGACAGCATTTTCTGATGGATCCGGTTCTCTCCTCTTCCGTTTTCCCTCCCCTTCAGTCTCTTCTTATTTGAATGTTCATGATTTAGCCACATAAATATCGTGTGTTGACTTCTTTATAAAGAAAGAAAAACAAAGAGGAAAATGAGAGAAGAAAAGAGGGAAGGGAAGAAGATTTAGAGGGGAGAGAAAAAGACCGAGGAAAATGATACCACCTTTACTTTTGTAGCTAGCTTTTTTTGGCTTATGATATTGAAGGCCGTCCTCTCCACCTCCCATGAATTCTTTTCCTTTTTGGATTACTAGGGACATTGGAAGAAGAAAACCGAACACACTACCCCGGGTGTATGAGTACATATGCTTAATCACTTGAGTTATAAGTCTCTTATCGCTTAAGTTATTTTTTAGAGCATATATTTGATTCTATATTTCTGTAAAAGTTTTGCACAGTTATTTGAAAACTTTGATAATCTCTACCAACTAGGACAACTTTCCTGCCTAAGATTGAACCAAGAGTGAGCGATCCAAAGTTTATAAGAGTGGCACTACGAATGGCATGGTTTAAGTGACCCTACACAAGTTTTTCTCATTTTTATAGTACAGAGCAAGGTCACACCATGCTGGTGATTAGTTGGTATACATCAAATTATCCCTTTATCTGATACACACTACAAATTGCTTTGCCTTTGCAAAGCACAGATCTGATTCGTCTGCATTTGCTTTACTAAGTGGGCCAATTTAGTTCGAACGCAAAAAGAATTTAAATTCAAAGACCTTGTTTAGTTGTTTTATCATTAGCACAAACAGTCACATTAGCCTGCACGTTATATCCAAATGGAAGCCCTACCATTGTGATCATAAAAACATAAACCTTTGTATGAATAAAGTCGTGTGTTGGAGCCGAAAAGATTCGGGTCCTCCGACTATTATTTTTCGTTGTTGGGGAATTTAATATTTCTGGCGTACATCGCCATTTCATGAACATAGACTGAAAAGATTTTTAAATGTGCCCGAACTAGCAGGAGTTAGCCATATGTTATTATCAGGGAAGTGTTTTTTTGCTCAACTGTATCTAAACTTGTATAATAACATATGGTGCATGCATCCATATTCCGAACACACTGAAAATTCTCTCCATAGGCTGGACTGGCTGACCTTCCAGAGCACGGTTTTGCCACCGACAGCAGAGCACAGCGCTAGCAGGGCGGCACAGTCGGAACCCAAATCTGGTTTTGCAATGGGGAGCAAAACCAGCAGGTAGAAGAGAGAAAGGGAAAGCTTGGAATGCATTTCGGTGGTGTTTTTGGTGAATTGAGAAGGGGGCGGGGCGGCGCAGTGGGGGTTGGTTTTCCTGGGTTTTTCAAAGTTCATACAGTGTTTTGATGGTCGGGTTTCAGAGAAGGGGAGGAGATAGCTAGAAATACAAATACAAAGCTCTCGTCACACCATGCTGGTGATTAGTAAAGATAATGCTAGGAAGACCAAATTTGCAAACCAAATAATGTGTCACTAATAGGAAATAAGTATGTTAATCAACACTTTAGTAATAATTCAATCATCAACATCCATATCATTTGATATACAGAATTTAATCTTCCTAGCATTACCCGATTAGTTGATATATAGCAACATCGACGAACGCAGCGGAATAATCAGAAAAGCCTTAGACGAGCTTCTAAAACTGAAAACACACCAAAAACACAATCTCTGGAATCCACCAGATTGACTAAAACTCAAAAGTTTAATTGATCTGAAATCTGAAAGTTACAGCAAAGAACTAGGGTTTATATAGCCATCAACTCCTAATCCCATGATAACGAAATGAAAGAAAAGATCGAATTGCCATATCAATTTCAAACAGAAACTCTAACATCAATTTAAAGCAGGGAAAAGATCGTCAAGAACAATCTGATGTTTAACAGAAACCTAATAACACGGATAATTAAAACCATGATATTTGCTTTAAAGCTCCAACAAGATAGAAAAGTAACACAAAATCTGTTGGAAGTGGTAGATTTAGAAAAGAGAGGTTCCCTTCCCCTTCTTGTCTCCACCAATCTCGAAATGCTTGCACCTCTGCAGAAATCAGTGATAACAACCAACCATTAGCGAAAATCACGGTTATACACAAAAACGAGCAAATTGCACACACAATACACTAACCTTGATTGGGTGCTGGGACACATGCTTGCAACCCTGGCATTGGAGCCTCAGAACAATCTTCTTGGTAGTTTTTGCCTGTTTATAAAGTTAAACGTGATCATCATTGAGAAAACAAACAATAAGAACAGAGAAATCAATCTTGCGGAAAAAGAAATATCTAGACATTTGGTTTTCATTTATTCTTTATTTATTCCCAGTAAGAAAAGGGGGTAAGAACTCAATGCTTTACCTTCTTGTGGAACACTGGTTTGGTCTGACCTCCATAACCTGACTGCTTACGATCATAACGCCTCTTTCCCTGAGCAGCAAGGCTATCCTTTCCTTTCTTGTATTGGGTAACCTTGTGCAAGGTGTGCTTTTTGCACTCCTTGCTCTTGCAGTAGGTCTTCTTTGTTTTGGGAACGTTCACCTAACACATTACCACATTTGTAACGATCCATTATCAAACAAATCACACAGAAACACAAACTACAACAGGGATTATGCAATCTGAAAAAAAAAAAAACAAAAAACCCAATTACAGGACGCAGCATAAGAAATTACCAACCAACACCAAAATAATCACAAAAGAACAGTTTTACACGACGTGTGCAGAGCAAGAATAACTTAGACACAACAATCTAATAACCATATTCAAAAATCAGAACACACTTCACAAATCATCCCAAACACAATGAAGCGGACTTCGCGCAGTTCATTGTCAGATACGTAACTTTGCAGTCTAAGAGGCATTCATAATCCAAGGCGTGACTAATGGAGGCAACAGTGGCAGTTGGGTATCTTCATACTTATTGAGTACTCGATCACAAGCAAAACCCAATGTGCTCCGGTTCCACAGTGGGTACCGGACCACCGTGAAATCCCGGACACCCATTTTCTATTTCGGGCACTCGATAGTCATCCATAGGAAAAACACCTACAGCTTCAATTGTTACATTTTCTTCTGAGCTAGACCAAAACAAGTTTATGCCAATTTTTTTCGACGATTCAAATATCGCATCCATCATACAATCAGACTATAATCTTAACACAAATCCCAAGTTTAACCCACAAGATTAAAGCAAAGAACAACAGCAATCATCTCATAACCACTAAATACTAACAGACTCACATTGGAAAATCAAACACAGAAGCAGTAAATATATGATTAATATTGTTGTGAGAGACATAGAGAGAGAGAGGTACCATGGCGACGGCGGGTTCGTATGGAGATGACTCTGCAGTGGAGCAGAAGCGGCCTCTCAGTAGAACCCTAGAAGAGGCACTTGCGTCAGCTGTTACATGGGTTACCTTTTAGGGTTTTTGTCGATTGAACTTGGGCTCGGGTCTAGGTCCACCTCGATCAGCCCGTAAAATCACCCTGCCCACTATTTTGACTAATTTTTTAGGGTATTTGGGACTCTGTCAAGTCGTGGTGTTATTGTTTCACTCAAATAATTATAGGAGAGTGACTTTTACGTAGATTTCACTCCATAAACAAAGAATAGTACACCAGTCGCCGTGTACCCGACACAAAAACTTCTCCACTATTACGTACATCACAAAAACTAGAGTTGATTAGTGTGTTGTCTCGGTGAATTCCGAGCTCAAATCACTCTCCTCGTAAAGACTAGATGATATCCGAATTTTTTCTCGACAATCAAGACCATGAAATACAGTTGGACGAGAGAGGAAAGGGCGTAGATTGCAGGGCAAATCCTAAAATCCAATGTATAACGTTGTATGTAAAAACTACATTATAGTTAGCAACGTCAGGACTTTGTATTTCTATCAACGTTGTTCTTTTTTTGTTCTACGAGTGCGAGGAGAACCATCTTTTTGCTGTAATAAAGTGAGGTTACCGGTCTTTCCCATGACGGTACAAATACAAGTTACGACTAAAACTGTAAAAATTGATGCCATATGCAACGGATCCGGCTGGAATGAGCCCCATAATAACGGTGGCCTGTCCACGCTGACTGATGCAAATCCCTCTCCCGACTGCCTCTTCCTGCGAAATGAGCAAATGGTTAAGAGAGGCTAGTGTGTATGCAAGATGAGTTCAGAACATATAGAAAAGAACTCGACTGAGGCATACCCCAACACGCCCTTTATCGAGTCCCACAGGGATGCAGAACGTTTAGTTGCCTGGCTTGACGCATTGGTTCTATGCTTGCCAAAGTTCCTATCTCGTATCCCTGAAATAAGCATGAAATTAATCCTACTACGGTTTTTCAACTAGATAGATGTTGATAAGAGTATGAAACCTATACCGGTGCCTTTAGAAGCAGCTGAATGACCTTCTCTAGATGCTTTAAGCGAAGCCAGTTCTTCGACAAGTGCACGTTCCTTATCACTGTCATTAAAATTACAATAAATTCCAACGAAGAACAAAATGCAAGGTATTGGGATATCAAGCTGGATGCCAAGTTCAACTAATAAGTTTAAATTATAGGAAAGAAGGGAGCATAACATAGTTTAAGGATACCAACCTGATTATCTTTGGGATCAGAACATTGACAGTAAAATGATGATCTCCTCGAGAAGAAGGTCTGTTGATGTCTGGAACCCCCATGCGTCGCAACTTTACCGTCTCTCCAGGCTGAATTCCAGAAGGAATCTGAAGCTCTTTCAAGCCTTCAACAGTTTCAACCTGACGTTATATCACAATTTCCATGTCATACAACTTATACCAAATAATAGAACATTGATATTCATAGACCCTCACTGAGAGATAAAGCTAGGATTACCTTTATAACGGTCCCTAAAATGGCTTCGGTATAATCAATATTGATTTTTGAGTACAGATTGAGACCATCTCTTCGAATTCCAGCCTTTTCATCTACATGGAGTACTATGTAGACATCTCCAACTTTACCCCTGCCAAATGCAGATGACAAAGAAATTAGCGCAGAGCTTGCCTTATTATCAAGTCACATACAGCAACATTCGTGAACAAGTATAATCACACAAACTCTAAAAAGGTGTAACATAAAAGTGCATGCCATGGGTAGAGATCAGAAAACGTTGGTGTTTTATTTGGAATTTGTATCCGTCGTAAAGGTAGATTGTTTTCAAACGCATTGGATTAACAACCACTTAGGACAGAAATCAACAACTAGACTATATGAGCAAAACATATTTGACGTATGCTTAAATTGGAACTGTGTATAAACCTTTTCTTATCCAAATTCCCCTCCCCTTGAATTTGCATTGTGGCTCCATCATTAACACCGGCTGGAATGCTTATGCTCATAGCTCTTTTTGACTGCACTTGTCCTTTGCCACTGCATCTTTGGCAAGGATCAGTGATTATTCTACCATCACCACCACACTTTGAGCAGGTTGATACCTATTAATAAAAAAATATCATCTATGAAGCACATCTCTAAGACGTATAGTGTAATCTTGAAAGGATGATAGGAAGAAAGAAATCTACGGTGTCTATGTTATGAGGCTAAGAAAATTTATGCATAAGACCATCTCCAACCAAAAGGGCTAAATATAAACCCGTCTTGAATTATAGACCTGCAAAAAATTATTTTTAAATGACCAATGTCAGGCCATACTCATACACCATCTCCAACCGGAGGGGCTAAACATAGCCCCCTTAATAATTTATTAGTTTTAAGTTTATACTTTAAATTTATTGGTTAATTTGATTAAACTAACTTTGGATGTTTTTAAATCTAACTGTTGAATTTGAATCAATTATTGCATTTGAGGAGCTGGGCACCAAAAAAGGGCTAAGAGGGGCTACATTTGGCTAGCCTAATGCCCTTTTGGCTAAGTAATGGCCTGGTGGGCTCCACATAATTATAGGCTAGCCATCGGTTGGAGATAAGTTTTTGGGCAAATCAGGCCAGCTTTTGGACCTTTAGCCCTTTCGATTGGAGATGGCCTAACTGGACTTAATGCGGTTTCAATGACTTTTAATGTTAAAACAGGTCTGTTTACCTGCGAAATCATTCCAAATGGTGTTTTCTGAGTTTTCATCACCCCTCCTCTTCCTCCACAACCAGTACATGATTTTATGCCTTTATCAGATTTAGCACCTGTTCCACCGCAGTCATCACATGTCTCAACACAAGAAACTTGGATTTCTCTCTGTACCCCAAAAATGGATTCTTCAAAGCTCAAATACAGATCGTACCTGCAACATGAAAGTTAAAAGAAAAGCCAATAAAACATAAATTTATGTGCCTTCATAAAGATAATTCAACAGTACGAGTGCCGCTAGACAGTTACCGAATGTCAAGACCCTGGTTTCCCCTGTTGCTGAAATTGAAGTTCATGCCTCCTGATTCACCCCTTCCTCCAAACATCCCATCCGAACCTCCAAAGAATGTATCAAAAATGTCAAAAGGATCCACCTATTGAACGTTGATGGTTCCATTAGCATGCAGTTAAACTAGTTATTTCCTTCACTAGAAAAGCAACCAAAATTAAATTATTAAGTACAATACATGTTCCCGTGTCTGTATTACTCAGAAGACCAAGAAGATCTTACCCCTGATGGACCCATGGTTGAGGAACCATAGTCTCCCTGTAAACCTGCTTCACCAAAGCGATCATATAAAGACCTTTTCCCATCATCTGATAGGACCTACAAAGATTCTTCATTAGAATATGAATGATGGGTTCATAGAACAACAGTCAAATCAATAAATGATGATAAATGAATGAAAAAAAAAAACCATCTTGTACTGAAAATTGATACCTAAAGAACAACGGAAATGCGAAGACGAAGAGAAAAATGACAATGCAGCAACATTGAAGAAGAAAAACTAGAAATCGTAAATTGTAATACCTCATATGCAGCACTAATCTCTTTGAACTTGTCCTCAGCTCCACCGCCCTTGTCCGGATGATACTGCTCCAAGTTACAACATTTCCGACATCAAATTTCAATTCACCTTAAACTGGGATTATATTATATCATCTCCCCTATCATGCCTAATTACAACATAATTAACACCAAAATCACCGCCTTCCGGACGAAAAATCTAAAGCTTTCGCTAACCGCAACCCTTTCGAGCATATCAAGCAGCTTAAAACCAGCTTAGCTTACAGTGCTAAATTGGGTTTCGAACTATCCAACTTCAAACTTGTAAAAATCTTTTCTTTGGCTTCAATTTCTAGGCAAATAACACGCATTGTGACATTAGCAATAAGAAGTAGCTAACCTTTCGGGCGAGATTTCGATAAGCGGACTTGATCTCCTGCAGCGTGGCGGTTCTGGGGACGTTGAGAGTCTTATAGTAATCGGTTCCGGCGGCTCTGATGGCCAAACGAGCCCCGCGCGGGGGATTGGCGCGGAGGAAAGAAGCGGAATTGGGTTGGAAGATTGGGTTTTTACTTCTGGCGAAGAATGTAGAAGCGGCGGAGCTGAGGGCGGAGCAGCTCAAAGAATAGGGCGGAAGTGGAACCGCGGAGTTGGGATTTGGCGGGAAATTGGAGATGCAGGTGGTTTGGAGTACGGGCATACTTCGGTTTTTGAGATTGAAAATGGACGGTGGAGATGGTTCGATGGAGATTAGGAGGGTTTGGGGGTTTTGCAGAGGTTTTAGGGTTTAGGGATTACGCTGAAGAAGAAGTAGAAGATGGTCAGACTGTCAGAAGTCGGAATGAACAAAAGTTTGGACCCCAATTGGCAAATATTTTCACATACGACAAACAACATTGAGGCAGAAAGTCTGTTTTACCCTACTAGAGCATCAAAATAGTGGGGCATAATTGACCTTTTGTGATCCATTTGTGAACTGATCATTTGAAAGCCTCTTTTTTTTTTTTTTTTTTTTTTTTTTAATGAACTTGCAAGTTTTCACTTCAACTCAAAGCTTGCTCAATCTTGTTCTTCTGCCGCCGTATCCGCCGTGTTATAAATTGAGCAGCATTTGTATCAACGGTTTTTGTTTTTGTTTTCTTTTCTATGATGGAGGAAAGAAATTTCGGTTGGGCTATTAGTATAGCTCTCAGGTTGGGAAGGACTATCGTGAAGTAAGGTGAGACCAAAACAAACAAAGGAAAGTATCGACACTACCAAGTCCCAACCAGCAGCCCAGTGAGTGCAAACAAGTCTATCACATAATCCTTCAGTTGAGTTGCAGCATGTGAAAAATGCAGGAGGACTCATCCAAAAGTATCAGTCATATGCTACCTACTCGGATAAACATGTCTCCGACGCTACTCTCCCAGAAATTCCACCTAAGGTCAAAAGACTCAAATCTACGACAACTAGAGCTAGGTGCTCTTGTTGTTAAGCAACATATTAAGTTGCAGTAATATAATATCACAGAGAAGATGAAGAGGTTTTAGAGATAGAAAGATAGAGAGAGAAATGAATTATATTTCTGTACTACAAAGTTACTGAATTACTCTACTTACAATTGTTATATAGTTATCTATATTACTTCTTCACTAAGACACCTTATCCTACTTATAACAACCATACTGATCTTATAACAACCACACTGATCTCTTGACACATGTCAATGTATCTAACCATCTATTATCTATACTGTTAACATCCTCCCTCAAGCTCAGGAGAAGGACCACGAAGCCTGAGATTGCAGCAATGAGCACGAAAAAGTGGTGCAGATAGGCCCTTTGTCAGAATATCAGCAAATTGCTCATTAGAGGAAACAAACTGCATTTGAAGTAACTGTTGGGCAACCCTGTCACGAACAAAATGGATATCAATCTCAATATGTTTGGTTCGTTGATGCATCACTGGATTACAAGTCAGAGCAATAGCCGAGAGGTTATCACAAAACATAATGGATGGAGTCGAAACTGTAATCTGCAGAAAAGTGAGAATCTGTCTTATCCAATCAAGCTCAGCTGCTATTGTAGCAATGGCACGATACTCAGCTTCAGTAGAAAGAGCGAGAGACAGTGTTCTGCTTCTTTGATGACCACGAAATGGGATTAGAACCCAAGAAAACAACCAAACCTGTTGTAGAGCGTCGATCATTCGGATCCCCTGCCCAGTCCGCATCACTAAATGCATTTAACTCCAAGTCGCCCTTTGTATATTGAAGACCATAATGTTGAGTGCCATTAAGATACCGTAATATCCTTTTGACAGCCAAGTAATGAGACTCCATGGGACACTGCATGAACTGAGCAACCTGATGTACCGAAAAAGCAATATCAGGTCTTGTGAAAGTTAGATACTGTAAGGCGCCCACTATACTTCTGTACAATGGAGGATTGTCAAATGGTATGCCATCATCCTTAAGAAGGCGATGAGAAGGCAGACAAGGAGTAGCACAAGACTTGGACTGATGCATTTCTGTCTTTGTCAATAAATCGGTGACATATCTATGCTGAGACAGAAACAACCCTTCTGTATTGGTTGTGATTTGAACACCAAGGAAATAATGGAGTGGTCCCAGATCCTTGATATCAAATTCTGTAGCCAACGCAGAAATGAGCTCTGGAATTACAGAAATGGCACTGCCAGTGATGATGATATCATCCACATAGAGAAGAAAAAGTACTATTCCAGAAGAAGTATGTTTGACAAACAATGAAGTGTCGGCATAAGTTGTGTGAAATCCCAAGGAAGGCAAGAACTTAGTAAATCTCTCATTCCATGCCCGGGGAGCTTGTTTGAGACCGTATAAAGACTTGTGAAGTTTACACACTGAGGATGAATAGATAGGGTCTACAAACCCCGGAAGCTGCGCCATATACACTTCTTCTTCCAAAATACCATGCAAAAAAGCATTTTTGACATCGAGCTACCGTAAACCCCAACCATAATGTGCAGCTAAGGCAAGAACAAGACGTACTGTAGTAGGCTTAACAACAGGACTGAAGGTTTCACCATAATCGATTCCTGCCTCTTGATTGAACCCCTTGGCCACAAGCCGAGCCTTGTATCTCGAAATGGTACCATCAACATGTCTCTTGATCTTAAAAACCCACTTGCACCCCACAAGGTTTCTGTTTGATGGTAAAAGAACTAAGGACCAAGTTTTCTGGGAATGCAAGGCTTGTAGTTCCTCCTCCATGGCTTTATACCAAACTGGCGATTTAAGAGCAGATTTATAAGACAGTGGTTCAATCTGAGATAAGTCAACGTCTGTAGTTGGAGAAGTCAGAGCACTAAATGCTTTCTTCTTGACAATACCACTCTTCGATCGTGTTTGCATAGGATGCAAGTTAAATGGAGGTAGAGGAAGAATGACTTGTAAACTTTCTGGAAGAAACTCAGGAGCCACAGGAATGGAAGGAGAAGTACACTGAGGGACATTGCAAGTAATGGGGGAGCTGATGTCGTCGGTTGCTGTTGGCTGAGACAGTTCAGGTGCAGGAGAAAGATTGGAAGATCTAGGAGTGGCAGTAGCAGTGCGAGGTATAACACTAAGGCTAGGCACGGATGAATTAGATGACACTCCAACAAGCAGGTTATCCCGTGTAATAGACACTGGATTCATTGGTATTTTAGGAACAGACTGTGAAGTAGAAACAGATGACTTTTGGACAAGAGAGGAATAAGGGAAATCACCCACTCATCAAAATATAACATGTCGTGAAATATAAATTCTCTTTGAGCTAACTTCAAAACAGATGTACCCCTTGTATTTAGATGCATAACCCAGAAAGATACATAATTTGGTTTTAGGTTGCAGCTTGTTACTAGTATAAGGCTTTAAGAATGGGAAACATGCACAACCAAAGATTCTAAGGTGTTGAACATCTGGAACTGAATTGAACAGAACCTCAAATGGTGACTGATTATTTGTAGTTGAAGAAGGCATCCTATTTATAAGGTATATCGCAGTTTGACAAGCAAATGACCAGAAAGATGCTGGAAGATGTGCATTCTGTAACAATGTGATGGAGGTTTCAACTACATGCCTATGTTTGCGTTCTGCCAGCCCATTTTGTTCTAGAGTATGGGGACAAGAGATTTGATGAGTGATCCCTTTATCTAACAGAAAAGATTGAAGAGTGTGACTTGTATATTCCCCACCCCCATCACTTTGTAAAGTTTTAACAGAAACTGCAAAGTGATTAAAAATGAACTGATAGAAACCAATGAACACAGAGCAGACTTCACTTTTATTATGTAGAGGAAAAAGCCAACAATATCGAGTACACTCATCAATGAATGTCACGTAGTATTTAAAACCATCAATAGAGGTACAAGGAGCAGGGCCCCAGACATCACTATGAACTATTTGAAAAGGATTTACAGCCTTAGACACAGAGGATGAAAATGGGAGCTTGCTGAATTTTCCTTGTAAACAAGAATGACACACAGAAGATGAGACATCATAGGGGACTGAGATATTGGACGTTCTAAGAATAGTAAACAAAATGGAATTGGATGGGTGACCTAGTCTGCTATGCCATAAATTGGAATGTACTTTCTGTCCAAGAAATGCAGTTGTAGAGGCTTGATTCTGAATTGCAGCTGGTCTTGACATTGGTAGTGGATATAACCCATTACTGCACTGGCCCTTGTACAGAATCCTCCCTGTGGCTTTGTCCTGAATCCAGAAAGTAAAAGCATCAAAGATTAGCCAACAATGGTTATCTAGACAAATTCTGTGCACAGACAACAAATTCTGAGTAATTTTGGGAACATATAAAATGGAATTAAGCTTCAAATTTTGAGTAGGGGTCCGAATGATAGAAGAACCAATGTGTGAAATGGGTAAACCTGCACCATTCGCAGTTTGAATGGTCTCTGTGGATGAGAATGAAGTAGCCAAGGAAAGATTCTGTAAGTCTGCAGTGAGGTGATTTGTTGCCCCTGAATCTGTAATCCAGAACTGCTGAGATGAATCATTTGATGGTGGAGTGGATGAGGAAGAGTTTACATGCATTGCCGTCATTTGAGAAGCAGAACCAGAAATATTGGCATTTCGAAAATGACAGAACTGAGCAGTGTGATTCTTCTTGCCACATATTTGACAACCATCAACTACAACAACATCAGTATTTCGAAACCGACAGGTATCAGCAAGGTGACCAAATTTTCCACATATTTGGCAAGCTGATTGGGTTGGAGGGGCACCAAGAATACCAGGAGCAGGGAGTTGTATAGGTATTTCGTGAATTCCCAAATCGAGAATTAGTATTATAGTTGAATTTTCCTCGAACCCTTGTTCTTGATGTAAATTATTCTTGAAAATATGTATGTTGCTGAAGTGGGACACCAGAGACACCAGAAGATTGATGTGGTGAATACCCGGGACTTGGATTGGCAGAAACCCCTTGACTATGACCACCAGATTCAGAGTTCTTGGCAATCATGGCAGACAAAAAATGGCGTAACAGCTGTATTCTCAATCATTGCTTCTTCAGCAAGCAACTGAGACCTCAGATCCTTAAGAGAAATAACATTCTCTCGACCTCGAATGATAGACCGGATGGTATTATATTCTCCGATAAGCCATTAAGAGTGAGAATGACAATATCATCATCCTCGAAATGAACTCCGGCAGCTGCCAAATAATCACGAGCAGCCTTGATCCTCTGCAAGAATTGAGATATAGAATCAGGGCCTTTCTTGATATTCTGTAACTCAGACTTCATCTGGAATATGGTTGCACGAGTAACAACAGAAAATTGCTCCTTGAGACGAATCCATAGATCCCGAGCAC